ATCGTCTACGTCCGGACAATAATAGTAATAGCGCTGGAGTGAGCAACAGATATGATCATACTATTGAGTGTTTGTATGGCGGAAAAAACAAATGAATTCAACAACCCTAGGCCCAATCGTCGTTCCATCTCCGAAGGCATATCTAGCAACAAGTGTGTTTGATCTCGATGCTCAAGTCAGCTTCCAAGTAGGATACAGGCTTTCGCCTAACGAGCGTCCAGTGCCAATGTGTGACCACAGCGGAACCTGACCATCTTGCTAATTATCGCAGCATCACCACCATCATCATCATCATCATCATCAACAACAACAGTACATCAGCCATTTGAACTGGCGCTTCGCTGCCATACAACCATGATGACCTATGAAATAAAGATTAATAAGAGTTAGAGAAGGGGAATTACCTGAAAACCTTAATGCCCTAAGCAAACATTAGGGTCAAGGCGTCTACACCTTGTGCAGACAACATACCGTCACAAACAGCTGGCTATCGTGCAAAGATAAGGCGGCATCGGCGAGACAGCTGCCTTGCGGCTTTCATTGTCATGCGTCATAATCAGCCATTACCCCGCAGATAACTCAGCACCAAACACACTTTAAACAGGCAGTCCGACTAGGAGACGGAAGCAGTCTTGCCACTGGTTTCGGTTGCGAGCCATGTCCTGTAAAGTCTTGAGCCAAGCACAAGGAGAGTCACGTGGACTTCAGCCCGGAAGAGGAGACGGACCAACGGCACCTAGTTTAGTCGTCAATGACTTCATTTCCGGTTGCCAAGTCAACTTCTGTCCACCTCGAGCCTTGTGCCACCCTACACCTGGCAGACTAAACAGGGCCCTGCTAGGTAAGCGGTGACCAGGCATACGTAGCACGTGCCAGAGCAAACACAACTTATTCAGTGCTATCTGTTGTTCTAGGAAGTGGTGATGAAACACCTGCAGAAAAATAATCCTGCTCGGAGAACAAACTAAAACTTGACTTAGAGTGGTTGTAAAATCAACTACCTTGTGGGAATGTGGGGAGTTTACGCAGTCAGGAAAGAACCGTTTCAAAACACTAGCATGATCCCACTAGTCAAGTTCAATTAGCAACGGGTTGCACACGTTGTCAAAGAGGAAGGTGTCCCAATCGGATGATCGGATAAATGCTTGGGATTACTTCCAGTTTATCCTATGGGTTGCATATTGCGGAATAAAGGCATAATTGGTTGCCAATTTAAGACAAAAGTGAATCGTACTATTTTCTTGTCGATACCAGAGAGTTTGTCTAATACCTCTGTGCATTTGTGACCCTCAAAGTGAATATCCGGTCGCGTATGCTGGTCGCTCTTGTTTGCTTAGTAACCCATTCTATCCACCCACCAATTCTAAAAGGTAAGCTGTACGTGTAGACGAGGTTGGTCGAGAGGACCAGTTAATCTTTGCTAGGTTACAATCACCAGCAATTATCTTCTGTCTGTGTGGCATCTCAGCAGCGAATTCGAAAGCTGAAATGATAATGGTAACACTCGTGGTTGATGCAGTTGGCGGGTTATAAACACAACCGAGTAGAATGTGAGAACCGGTTTCTGAGACGGACAACCAAAGAGATTTGGGAACAATCGTTAGCTGTGGATGATCAAGAAGTTCTGCTGCAAATGTACAGTGTAGCTCTATCCCGCATTCACCTCCTTTGCATGCGCCGCCATCTTTTCGAAACAGATGATAATTAGGGATCATTAAGGTAGAGTCTAATATATCGGGGGAGCACCACGGTTTAGTAACGAAGAATTTTTTGGGTCGTTACTATGCGCAAGCATGCCTAGGAAGTTGTTACTAGATCTAGTATAGATAGATAGATTCGTTTAATAGATCTGGCATTAAGTAGAAATACAGAGAACGGACTGTTGGGTGTGGGGTCATCGTGTTGCTGTTCGTTGATATACGCATCGTTGTAGTCAGGTATTGTGGACGTATGACATACGGGTGGAAGTAGTTGAGTAGAGTCGATTTTCAACAAGCGCAGTGATATGCGCAATGAGTCATTTGTGATTGCCGATATTGCTGTGGACTTGGAAGTGGTTGAGGGAGGAAGTCTAATTTGCGATTGGCGTGGCAGTTGGCTCACCGAGTCATCTGTAAAAATTGCAGGTACAGGTAGGTGATTTCTGCCAGGTATGTAAGCAGTGGGAATGGCCGCGACTACATTCCCTTCTGTACTAAAAAGGGTCATACTGAGAGGTGTTGAGAAGGGCTGCACACATAGGAGACGGGACGGGAAGTGGCCTTGGTTTCGTGACATAGTTTATTCTATCATTACTGAGCTTGTTTTTGTGCTATGGAAGGAAATTACGGCGAGGGGTATCAAAAAGACATTTGTTTCTGGTTTTTGTCAGCTCAGGATGTTGCATTATAAAGTGTTTTTGCGACGTATGTTGGTAGGTCTTGTTAGTTTCTACCGTGTTCATCACAGGTTTAAATCTTTTGTTGGATCCGGTGAGTGGCTGTGGGTTTTCTACATTATTGGACTGACTGCGCATGGGGGTTCTTTGGGCGTTGAGTTCAGCTTGCGACACAGCTACAGGGCCCTTGATATTCAGCTCTTCCCAATGGTTAGGAGATTTTCCATCACTTATGAACGGTGAATTCAATTCAGTTAGTTCACAGGCTTCAAGATTGAGGGGTAGGAGTTGGTAGGAGTTTGCTTAGGTGGCATTGCAGGATCGTCAGAAACAGTGGTGAACGAGGTCCTAATCATAGGGAGTGAGCTGTCGAGATGTATCTCATAGTGTGCAGTTGCCACATTAGAAAAGTGTTCTTTTTGAGATTTGGTCTGAGTACACTTAAACCCAAATAGCAGTTTGAGCTGGTGATTGGGACGAAATATCACTAAGGAGCCTCTGTAAAGGCGTGCGACCTGGTTTAATCTATAGCTTTTCTGGATTCGGTTTGCTGGGCTATGGTGAGTTGATTACTCAACAGTCGGTTCGCGGATTCCTCAGTTGAAAATTTAAAAACAGTCGGGCAGCTGTGTTTCGGACGAAGGCATTTACATTCAATCTCGGATATGTCGCAGGCCATAAGTACTGCAGTTTTAACTTTACCCAAACTAAGTCTATCAGGAATGTTAAAAAGGATCACATTTTGAAGTCTATGCATTCGTTCATGTACCTCAGACGCAAATGAGGCGATTAACTGTCCTGCCTTTCCCATTTGGGCTGGATCAAGGCTTTTCCATGGGTTACTGAGATAGTCTAATGAAGCCAGGTGATCTCTGATTGTTTCGACGATGGTTACTATTTTTCTCATCTCGGAGAGTTGGGATTCCAAGGAGTTGACCTTATCACTGAGTTCTGAAAGAAGAGTAGCAATGGGATGAGGACTGACTCGCAGTTTCGTCGGGGTCTCAATTTTCGTTGGCTTTGTTCGGGCGGTATATGAAACCCTACTATTGGTTTGTTGAGTGGCGCTAGGCCTTATGGCTGCCATAATAAAGCGAACTGTACTGATAAGAAGGTTAGATGAAGTAGCTAGGGAAGGTTGATGAAAATAAACGGCTCAATCAAGGTCTTAGGTGCTTAAGCTACGGCATTGCCTGCAATCTATCTTCTCCAAGTTGGAGTGCCTGTTTAAGATGTGGATGTTACTGAGTCACTGTGGCATGGGGCACTAAAATGTACACAGGTTTTTGGTCGATGCGGTTGTAGCTTTACCAACTCATTGTCGGGTGGTTTGGGCACATCGTTTCTGACTGACAGAACGTGGGCTTGAGCCTGAGGGGGGTGTGGGCTGCCTCGCACACACGCGAAAACTGGTGACCTTGGAGAAACGAGGCGTCAACACTAGGTTACAACTTACTAGCGATATTACTTTGTTTTCAGTTATAGTACGCTGTCGCCAGGTTCCGTGCGACATGTCACCAAAGGGTTACTAAGGTATTTAGATGTTACATCGGACTCCCTCCCACAGGTTGTCATCCCTTATTAGTAAGGACTTTTGTGGTTGTGTGACAGTGAAGTACCAGCTCAAGTTGTTGATGCGTTACGAATACTGTGACTGAGCAACACACTAACGGTAAGTGAGTACAAAGAGTGTTAGCTTTTATTTCCACGATTACTTCTCGTCCATTCTTGCAATGAGTGTGATGAACTCTTAGGGTTGCGCTTACATATACAAATATGATGAATGGTTATCTTCACAGATGTATAGAAACACGGCCAACAGCATGGCCCGAGAGACTTGGTGCATTTCATAAAGAAGAGAAAGATCTATGCCGAGTCACCACTTTTCATGGAGGACTTTGCTGTGCTGAATAGCACTAGATGTTTAATCTCGTCTACGCAAAGAAGTTACTATGCTGCTCAAGTTGTGATCGCTAATTGAGCTCATAATTTGCCAGTGCATCCAGGGAGTTAAGCTCAGTCAGTCGGGGTCACCTCGCCATGCATATACCAATTTATGTGTGACTACGGAGACAGGCAGATACTTAGGGCCGATGGGTTTTTGACTTCCCGAACAAAGGAATATCTGTCAAGATGGGTTCAGCATGAACCAGATCAGCATTCCTTCCCCATGAATCGCCGTCTGCGCACAGGCCACCATCTTCTTCAGTAGGTAAACATCCAATCGTCAAGCTTCACCGGATCAGAGTTCACCATCGTGTTACCTTACCCTAATCCCCGCTTCCTTTGTATCGCTGAAGCTGTCGTAATGAGCGGATGAACCGAGCTCCTTGTGCCCACAAACATTTATTTGTCAGCTTAAGGCTGCCGTGGACGTAAGGTTATAACTTCTGTCATTCATTTTGCACCTCGAAATTGTTTACTCCTACCTATATTTGGGTATACAGTTGCATATCGGTTATTGTTAATAGTCCTGATGGAACAATACCAAATGCATGCATCTTTTTATCGCATTTTTCAATCTGATAAATTAGAAAAACTATTTCAAACAGCTTATTTGTTGCAGACATTTACTAATTCTGAATGCATGCCCAGATGAAGTTGCATTTACTCTCCTTACCAGCTAATGGCGTGTGTCCAAGCGACCACGAACAACCAGGACAGCGTGGATCCCGGATGCCTCCAGATACGCTCGCTGATTGGAAAGACTTGTCAACAGTTTGACCAATGCAGAGGGAAGGAGGAATCGGTTATGCATCGCGTGATGAAGCGCATTCGAGAGGTCATCGACACGGATCAGCTTGCGGACGCGCTACTCATGGTGAGCACCAAGCTGAGTTATAAATAAGATAATAGATGTACTTAATCGTTTGTTTTGTTATCCGTTCCTCGGTGTTTGTTTGCTAGCTTTCTCGTAGTTTGATACGGCCTTGCTTCATCCATTCGCCCTAAGCTCATAGGATATGTAAACATACAATTCAGCGAACGAGTCCCTTTCGGACAATTCCAATCAGACAATTGCATATTTAAAACCGGTTTAATCATTTCAGTAAGCTTGTAAAGCTGAGATGAGATTGAATGCTTCTTAACCGGCTTTATCGTCTGACAACCCGACTATGCAATCGATGATGAGAGTCGTGCACAAATGCGCACACAATACACGACGGTTTGCCCGGCCGATGGGATGACATTAATCGAAATTAGTGATGCTCACGGTCGACTCACAGCAAAGCATAAAGAGCGCTTACATTACCGTTCCCTAATTGCACAGTCCAGATTCCACTAACCTTATCGGCTTTAACTCGGTCAACATTCGTAGGTGTTTCCGAAGTCCGTTGGAGTAGCATTTCGGTACAAGATAGAAAACTTTGAGAGGATCTCTCTCCAGAACTTAGTATCTAATTTGAACTGTATGTAAGAATGAAGCTGTTGACATTTCTCACCGTGCTTTTCCACAACGTTTCTGTGCAGTATTCTACTATCCGTTTCACCAGACGTCTGGTCGTGTTTCCGAGGTTCAATTAAATGACACACGGATAAACATTTCTGTAAGCTTTATTAAGCTGAAAAACTGACAGTAATATGGTATACATAAGCAATGCAGTTGGGTTGGGCTTCAGAGATTGAATGCGTCGTTCTGTATGCCTGACGACCTCCCTAAGTGTCTAGTTTTCCGTAGTGAACAGCTGACAAAATACGAGCTGAAGACAACGATGAGGGGTTTCTTGTCAATGAAAAAGCGACTTTCTGATGCACGTTGCAACTGACGAATAGTTGGGTAAATGGTAAGCAGTTCTCTGCCAAGTGTTCCGCGACAAGATTTCGATGGTCAAAGACGTTTAAAGAAGAGATCTGCAGGTTGACACCGTCTATCAGCGTGCCGTTGGATGACATTTCATATCGCAACGTCAGAATCGTCACTTGTAAGAGAGAGAAACAGACAGTTTGGAGTGAATGATGAGAGCTCTGTTGGAGATAACATCTTTGTGCTCGATGGGGGACTGTGTGGCGTATCAGGGAAAACGAGTGCACTCGTTTCCGCTGAGATGATCGGTTAGAGGCTATGGGGGGGGGGGGTGAGGTGTTGCTAGTAGCTGAGCAGACCACAAACTCGACAGAGATACTTGAGTGAATTCGGAGGTGGGAGTCTTTAGTAGCCTGGATGTTATCTGTGGAAGTGCAATCTCAAACGAGATGTGGCTTAAAAACTCAACCGCAGTCTTAATGAGTTCGCACTTAGTCAGGTTAACTGTGACATCATGTTGGGTCAAGCACGGGACAAGGGATTAAAAATGCGTGAGATGCTCCACTTCGGATGAATTGGCCACACGAATTTCCTCGACGTAGGAATAAGCAAAGTTTAGAGCACGAGTGAAGTCGTGGATGGAACGTTGAAAGATTTGCGTAACGCTTCACAATCCGAAGTGCGTTGTTAAATTCTCGAACAAGCTAGGGGTGATGATGGGTATGCGGCGGTAGGCACTAACAGGATCGCTCTTCTAAGGACCGTCCTACCTCTGAGATACGCATTGAAGTCCTGCGTGCTTTGGATGGAGCACCTGCCGGGTAGTGTGAGTTTGTTTAGTACGCTGTAGTCATCGCAAGCGCGTCAATCTCCAAATTTCTGAAGGAAGAAAATACTCTGAAAAACGGATTCTTCCCAGTTCGGGTGTGTGCTCAAACTTTCTTATAGTTAGCTTTAGTTTCACTGACGAATTGCGGATCGATTGTGATGAGACCAGTAGTCAGGTCAAGTAAAGAATATGCTTTATGCACCCAGAATATTCGGCTCCAACTCACACACCACGGGCATGGATGAATAATGAAAACGAATGGTACATGAGGATAGGATTTTACCGTAATTATTTCTTTCAAATAGCAAAAGCAAGACATCGTTGCATTTTGAAGTCTTTAACAGTAGGCAACAGTCTCAGATTCGCGGCCCTTAACATAAAGGAAACGCCAGCTGTGACGTTTTTCACCTCTGTCCCGATCCGATCTTTTACCCGTTGAGTCGAATTAGACATGCAAAGTGTGGTACAACTTATGGCTTGCGCACCAAAACGTCGATGGTACCAGCAGTATCGTTTACCATCTGCAGTTAGGTGACTTTCTGCATGAGCGGCATAATTTGCTGTTCGAAGGCTTGTTGCTAAGGTCGGGCATAAGGACTACTAGTTCCGCTAAGACCGTAGCTAATTTGTGCGAAAGTGTGGCAGATGGAATAGAGTACGAACAACGTACTGTCTTGACATGCATTGAACGAAGCGATCGAGTTGTGGGCGGAAACTGTAGACCCCTGTTCTGGTGACTTGAGAGGCGTCGCCTAGTGATTATAGTTGAATTGCTGTGAGAACACCTGAGGCGGTTGCTAGTAAAGGTTGTAATCAAAGTACGCGCAGTAATTTTTCGTCTATCGATGATGTGTCAAGTAACTAATGTAGCTTGTTCGACAACACAGTGGAGTACTTGTCACAAACCAGACGTCGAAACAGCTACTGAAGGATAGTTCGTTCTGAGCGTGTAACGGCTTAGGATGATCTCCTAGAGGTTGTCATAAAGTTGCGTAGTAACAAGGTAACTCAAAGTTCCGTAGGTTGAAGAGCCTTGTAACTAGGTGAATATGCAATTAACTGTGTCAGAAGTGGATTAATAGCGAGCGAATGTCAACAAATAATGAGTAATATCATGGTAGAGTTGAGTTCTGGGTCCAAAGTCTTAATGTCAGAATTAGAAATGATATAAAGTTTAACGGATAGTCAACGTCGGAAAAAACAAACAGAAACAACAAGGTATTGTTTCACTGGAATGTAAAATGCAAAATTGTTGCAGTGGAGTTCACCTCCGCGGTCAACAACTCTTGGGATGCAAGTGGGATACAGGTTGCGACAATAACCTTTGAAAACCATCGAGAATACCAAAGATTAAGAAATGTGAAAACAACCCGACTCAACACGTATAGTAAGGAGCTACAAGGAACTGTGAGCAGGTTAAGAAGCGCAAGGAGTAACGTAGCGCTCGACTCTCCCGGAGAACGCAAGAGCTAGGAAATTGCACTCAATAAAACAAATGAACGGTTGGAATGTACAATGAACAGTAAATTCCAATGCAGCAAAATGCTGAAAGAGTAGCTGTTTACGACCTATTACAAGTGCCGGCGTTCTGTAGCCATTCGCATTTACGGGTACAAATAATCTGGAAACAGAAGCCTGTCAACCATAATTCAAGGGGATACGTAGTTGGATAATCAAGCTAAACTGACTGTTGTCCAACTACATGGTAACCCTTGAAGACCGTTGGACTCGTCACGAACGTATACACAGAGGAATCAATGAAAGAAGACGAGTTATAGTACTGCAAGATGATTAGTGGTAAATCAAGAAAAGTAACAGTTTTGTAGACCAATCGTGTGATGTGTACCTAAATTGATGAGCTTGTTGGGTAATTATATTGTAATGTACCAGTTTTCCATTGTTTCAAGTGCCAGATAGCGGCTAGTCAACGGGTTACACAAGTCGCGGGAACTCCCGGCGGTAATTGGATAATCGAAGCAAGCTGGTACCAGGGTATACATTGCTAAACTCCAAATAGTCGAAACAACCACACAAAGCTGTGTAAATGGACTCACTGAAGCCCAATTAGTGCTCACCTCCTAATCCGTAGGATGTGGCACGAAAAGCTTACGATTGTGTTGGTGCTACATTAAGCGACGCGGAATGCATGCATTCTAAAGCAGCAACAATCCAGCTGCAGAGTAAAATTAATAAGCCAGAGAAACTGTTGATACTACAAATAGGGTATTACGGGGGGTAGGCGATTCATCACTGGTAGTGATGTCGAACCATAGTCGTCAAATAAGATACGAAACCGTTGCTGAATTTCAGGATCTCTGCAGCAACTAGATTTTTGAAAACTATACAAAAACAAGTTATAATGCTATATAGTGCTTATCACCATTTTCCGTTTGCTTGTTTTCTTGCAGATCCGAGCATGTGCTGGGCAGTCGTACGACTGAATCATGAAGAGGATTCGATTCCATCAGATCTTTGTACTGTCATTTTCATAAAATATTGAACTGACATACATAGCTTGTTCTTTTCCTTATCTGTGGCCCAAATAAAATGAGAGGTATTAAGAACCTTACAATATACATATCAGGCAGCTTCGGATGCATACTCGAGGATAGAGAACTGACAGTTTCAGCATTTGCCTTCCGATACTGAGCAAAAAGCAACACAAGGCATCAAAAGCAGCTGAGTGATGGTCTAATGCATACAGATTTCATTTTATTTAATGGGAAACTAATGAGCACATTAAATTGCGAAAAAATACCTCAGGTAGTGCCCTACTCTAACGAAGGTAGTAGCTGCTACTAAGTGAGCGCAATGTACGGTCAGTTACGCCAGATCAAAGCAGGTCACGTCGCGCTGTGCACTTGGCGTGGACACAGGAACCAGGTCAGGCTGTCTAGACATCTCGGAAGAGCATGCAAGATCTCCTGTGTCGTCGTTGTGCATATGTTATTGATGTGAAAAGACAATAAATGAGTTCATCTTTACAAAAAGAATAGTAATTAATCCAGGGTTCATCGCAGTAGCTTCCAAATTAGATAGTCCTCCACATGTCCGGAAAAACACCAGACGACCATTTCGGCATATGCGGTCTCGACATGTGGAGGGCAATCTGGTTTGAAAGCAACTGCGCTGAAACTTCAACTAATTACAAGAAATACTCTAAATATTAGTAGCACAAAATACTCAGAGGCTACGTTGTACATAGATATTGTCCGTGGGTATCGCAGCCTTCCCGCTCAAACCTGCACACACACAAACACACACACACAGATATATATATATATATATATATATATATATATATATATATATATATATATATATATATATATATATATATATATATATATCCCATGCTGAGGTTGATGTTGCATTCATGGTGCTTCTTCACCGCAGTTGGGCTAAAGCAACTTACACTTAAACAAGGCATTCTTCTAAGCTGTATAAATTGCATTCCACTTTAGTTGGTTTGTTCTGCTTACCTGAATAATCTTCTATTAACTTGCACACGATGCTTTCGTTAATTGGGCTTATCTTCGTTAACTTTATTGCGTGTGCAGCATTTTTTGAGTACCTTCTAGACATTTTGTACTTATCGCGGATTTGTTGCTAACCAACTTAATTCATGTGCTAATTTAGCGAAGAGTTGTGTCTGCATAGCCGTATGCTTTAACAGATATTTTAATTGATAATGTCATTAAAAGTGGTTGGCTGTGGTTTGACATCCCCGGTGTGGCTGTGCTTGATGTGAATGTCGAAAAAGTGCCTACCTGTCTATTACCCTCTACCTCGTCCATACTGGCTCCAGAAGACAGTAGGTCGTTGTTGGAGGGGATGGGATGCACGGTCCTCGTGGTCGTGCTAGGCTCGAAGAGCGGTTCCATGCACTCATTGTGGAGCGGACTACTGTCCAGCCACCGCCTTGTTTGCGATTGATTCCCAAATACAGCGTGCTTGTGTTTGCCTGTGAGGAGTATGGGGCGGCTCCGTTGAGGAAAGGTGGCTCCAATCCACATACCTCCCGGTTTTATACCTTCGGCTTAACGCTGGATATGGGGTCTCAGAAGAGTTTCACAGCATGTGCGCTGTTGCGTGCGGTCCGTGACCATATCCTCTAGCATTTGCAACCAGAAGTGCTCGGGGTCTTTTGGTCCCCAACCCGGGAGTCGGGAACGTCCAACAACAGCCAGCTTCAACTTTTGCGCCTTTACGCATTGGATGCAAGTGTTACATTGCCCTCCATTTCGTCGCTTCAACGCCACGCCTTTGCTCGCAAATGGGGCTTGTCCTGGTAGCCGCTGGATAGGCAGGTGGAGCACATGCTAAAGCCAGCGAAGCCTCCGCAGCGAAATGATGCTAACAATCGGTCGGCGGTGTTCGTTAGATCTGTAAACTCGCCGAAGAACTTCCTCATTAATGATGAGATGCTGCCATCGAACACCAGTATTGCTTCGCGGGTTACGATGATGGAAGACAGATAGCAGCTGTACATCGTTTTTGCGAACGGCCCAATTATCACAGCCGCACAGCATTGTAGACTCACCCCTTGAGAGCGAGGCTGAGGTCACAAAGAAGCCGCAGGTGACGGAGGTAAGCGAAAGCGACTCTAGCCTTGGAGACACGCAGGGTGATCGCATCTGTCAAACCGTCAATACTAAGACAACTCCCAAGATAAATGAATTTGTCGACCACTTCCAGCGGATGCCCCGAAAGCGTGAGAGAAAGACATGCACTTGGCCAGTCCTGTAACAGGACCTTACATTTGGAAGGGGCAAAGGTCAACCCAAATTGGGAGGCGGACATCTCCAGTCTAAGCAGCAGATGCTGGACGGCTTGGGAGGACTCGTAAATGCAAGCGATGTCATCTGCGGACTCCAAGTCCCGAAGGCGGTCATTAGAGAGCAGTCCAACACCGCAGGACTCTGAGTTCTTCATGGCAGTATTCAGGATCTCGTCCATTGAGAAGTTGAACAAGAATGGAGAGGTTTGGCAACCCTGTCTAGCACCGCTAGTGATACTGAAAGAAAGCGAAATGTCTCCGTATAATCGCTCGTGGCCCGTAGTTTGATAGTAAATGGCACGGAGAATGCTGATGTAATTCTCAGGTACTTCCGTCTTCAATAATCAGCCCCAAAGAGCCCTCTGTCAACAGAGTGAAACGCGACTCGAGTGTCCAAGAATATTGCTATAGTTGGTCGGCTGAACGTATGGTGAGGTTCAAATATCTGGCGGATCGTAAAGATGTGATCGACGCAAATGCGACCCGGGCGAAATCCAGCTTGGTTCACGCAGGTGCTGTTCCCGTACGCAACTGAGCCTCCGCAAGAGTAGGGCAGAGAGCAGTTTGGATGCGACGCAAATGTGACTGATTCCACGATGGTTGGAGCAAATGGTCCGGTCCTTTTTTTTAAGCAAGTACAACATCCGTTAATTTCCTGTCGGATGGGATGGTTTCGGTAGTCCAAATCTGATGGAGGGGAGATGTAAGTTAGCGAGTACGAGCAGGATACCCCAAATTTGAAGTGGGCAGGAGAAAGTTCATCTGGACCAGGTCACTTGTGGCGCTTTAGTAGGCGAAGCTCATAGGAAACCTCAACCTCAGTCGGTGGAGAAACATCCAAGCACCAGGGAGCACTGTGAACCGCGGAAGATGGACTCGGTTACGCTGGTGGCCAGTTGAACTGATCATCAAAGTGCTCTTCCCATCGTACTAGATGAGGGAGGCAAATGCGAATTGCTTCATCGTGTCATTCTCACGCAAAATCTCGCTCACGGTTGGCCTTCTGCCTTTAGTGGTGCGAATAAGTCTATTACCCACTACCTCGTCCATAGTGACTCTAGGAGACAGTTGGTCGTTGTTGGAGGGGAAGGGGTGCACGGTCCTTGAGGTCGTGCTAGGCTCGAAGAGTGGTTCCATGCACTCAGTGTGGAGCGGACTACGGTCCAGCCACCGCCTTGTGCGCCATTGATTCAAAAACTACAACTTGCTTGTGTTTTAACAAATGGAACATTCTCAGTGATTCATCAAGAACATCAGTCTGAGGCAAACTATTGTTTTCAATGATTCATCTACAGGCCGGTACAATCATATAGGGTTAAATTACAAAGGGATGGATAGTGATTGGTTCAGGGGTTTGTTCTGAACTGACTCGGTCAATGGTTAGACAGCGAATAGTTCGCCGCTGTCTCATGCACACAGATCGACCCGATGTCTGGGTAACGGCTAGGCTGATGGTTGTTCGGCCAGGGCAGGTATAGAGATTGAACAAACCTTTTCTGAGAGCACAGCGGGGGTTGGAATATGCGGATCGCAATGGCCTCTGCAGTGGCGAGCATTCTTAACCGCGTACCTTTCGATTTGCTCATTGGAACCTGATAAATCACAGTAAAAGCATTCGGGAGGTTAACCTGGTGACCAGATGCGAAAAGATGAGATAAGATACCGCTTGTAAGTACTCCGGTGCCCCCGTTCAACAACCATTTAGGGCTATGTTCCTTAATGCGGACGTGACAGTGGACGAGCCGTCCGACCAATGTATGTTGCCCCACAAGTGCACTCAAATCGGTAAATAACGTAAAGAGGAGGTCAGCTTCGGCAGTCTGTCCTTGTTGCACACAGGAATTAGCTGATTCGTGGCGAAGATGCATCGTAACTCCGCAGCCGGAAAGGTGTTCTTTATCGATTGCGTCAGTTTCCTTGTTAAGAGCTCACTAACTGTATCACCTTTAAAATCAAGGCGGATGAAGAGGGCCTTTTGCGCGACTACGTCCTTAACGACCGGTGTTATTTTGGGCTGCATGTTGCGCTGAATGAATCTTTCTGGATAACTATTTTCGCGCAAAGGTGTTCTGGATGGATTTTATCTCATTCTCCAGAGCGTCCTCCGGGCAAATCTTTCTTGCACTTGAGGTGAAACGAGGTACTAAGTTACGCTTGTATTTAAGCGGTACAAAACTACTGAAGTTTGTATACTGACCGGTCCACGTCTTCTTTCTGTTAGTCTTCCTTAATATGGAACCGTCAGTTCGTCTACTAAGGTGTACATCCAGAAATGAGAGTTGGCCATCTTGTTCAAGTTCGTAGGTGAACTAAATCGCCGGGTGCGCACAATTAAACTCTGCCAATATACCCTCCAGAGAGATATCTTTATGGGTTATGCAAAAAATGTCATCCATATAACGATAGTAATGGTCAAAACAATCTATAAGCGGCCCTAGTGATTCAGTTTCTAGTTTGGCAAGAAAAATATCTGCCAGCACTGGTCCGAGTGGGGACCCCATTGCGACCCCATCATTCTGTCGAGAATATATGCTGTCGAAAAGAAACTGAATGTTGTAGGTGCATCTCAGAAGTAATTCTTTCAGGCTTGGTAAGAGTATAGCTAAACGAATGCTGTTATCATGCACATGGTTGGCGGCATCCGGTTTCGGATTTGCCTGTCACTGTGGCCAGCAACAGGACGCCTGCGCCTACAGAAGGACCATGGGTGGCTTGCGCTGCACCACCCACAGCTCCAACCACACACCCCTTATCCAGTGTAAACCCGAAGGAATAAGACCGGGAGGCATGTGGA